TCTTCACATAGTATGATTTTAAGAACATAAATCTGTATTATTGTCCTGATGTAGGACAGATGATTCTGGACACCTGAGGAATTTTCAGGAAGCAGGTTTATTTAAGTTGCAGCAGTTCAGAGGTGCTAATGCCTAAAAATCTCTGGACAGGTCTGGAAATTCTTTTAGATTTATGCTCAGTGGGGGTTTACATACAGTGGATGGCTATGGAGTTACTTTTTGTTTCATATTTTAGGTCAGACAGAGGTTCCACAAGTTTTTACCAAGGAAAATAGAGATAGTAACTTGCACAGCAAACTCTGGAGACAGAGTCTGTCATACCATTTGTCTGCAAACCTGGCAGCTACAAGAAAGAGGAAGCTTCAAATCACAATGTGCTCTCTGCAGAAATCCTGATGACATTCTTTGTAAAAATCTTGCTGACAAGGAGAGAAGCTTATGTTACAATTATAGTATGGGTCTCTTTTGGGGGTTCACATCAGTCTCACTCAAAACCTCCCAATGGATCCCCATCACACTTGAAATGAAATGCCAAATCCTTTCAAAGGGCCTGCCACATCCAGTCCCTCGCTACCTGTTGGTTATTTATCTCTTCCTCCTCTAACCCTCTCTTCTCCTGCCACTCATCTTCTGTTTTCCTTACCTGTGTCAAGCATGCTCTCACCTTGAAATCCCAGCCACTCAAGGAGGTTGAAGCAGGAGGATCCCAAGTTAAGGCCAGCCTCAGATAATTAGCAAGGCCCTGAGTAACTTAGTGAGATGCTCTATCAAAATAAAAAGGGCTGGAATGTGGCTCAATAATAAAGCAAGCCTGTGTTCAATTCCCAGTAATCAAAACCAACCAACCTAGTCATTTGTCTCTTCCTTTCTAAAATGGGGGTAAAACTAGGGCATAAGGTAATATGAAGGTCAAATAAATTTATATGGAATTACAAAAAAATTTATATATTTTTCAGGCATAGTAATTTGGCCACAAGGAATTTCCATTTCATTGTTGAGGTGTTGGCCCAATAGACTGCATTTGGCTCCCAATGATTGGCCTCTCTCCTCCTGTTCATTTTAATCTACTGTTTGGATGAAGTGTCTCTGACTACCACTCTTCAGCTCAACAGTGGCGATTGTTGGTCCCCTGGCATTTCTCACCATAAGGAGGTTAAAAAAAAAAAAAATCTCAGTTTCCCTGTAGAATTCAGTTTGACTTGAAAGAGCTAAAAAAAAAAAAAAAAAAAAAAAAGGGGGGGCGTAGGGGGTGTGCTGCTTATGAAAGCAATTCCCCACTGTACTAGAAAAGCGAGAATTTAGATCTTTTTCTATTTTCCAGTACTACCTACCTATGCATACAACTTTTGAGCAGTTATTACCTTCAGAAATCCTATTTTTTTTTTTTTTGTGGTACTGGATATAGAACCCAGGGGCATTGAGCCTATCCCTGGTCCATTTTTGGCATGAACCACCACACCCACCAAAGTCTCCTAAACCCTTTGTCCCTGCTTCCTCACTTCCTGCACCCTTAATCTCATAGTCAGTAGCATTGATCTAAACTTGTGCTCACACCTGGCCAGAATAACATGAATTATTCTGCTGCTTTCTTAACAGTCCTTTGAAATCATATAATGCAAGTAACTAAGGACAATAAAATGATTTACCCTGATTAGAAAATTATAGTATAGGCAGGGCATGGTGGTGAATGCCTGCAATCCTAGCAGCTCAGAGACTGAGAGAAAAGGATTGTGAGTTCAAAGCCAACTTCAGCAATTTAGCCCAGGCCTAAGTAACTCAGTGAGACCCTATCTCTAAATAAAATATAAAAAAGGGTTGGCGATGTGGTTCAGTGGTTAAGTATCTCTGGTTCAATGCCTATTATATATGCATGTAATGAAATATCACATACCCCATAAATATGTACAATTTGTGTCAAGTAAATAAATATAGCAGGGAAAAGATAAAGTAGGCAACTCAGATAAAGAATGTACATTTGATCACAGAAGTTAAACACTTGAATTAAACTGCCAAGATTTCCGGCCCAGCTAATCATTCTGATAATTTAGAATTCAAAGGTTACTAATTAAGATAAGTAAATTGCAATTTCTAATGTGGAAAGTTACTACCTTTCCATAAAGAATGTTAAATGCTCTTTTGGCTATATTATTTTGTTATGGTTTTAGCTGCAATCACTAGAGAATGAAACCCTCACCCCGGAACCTTTTGTATCTTTTAAAGCTATAAAGGAATTGACATCAGAATAATAAACTTTTGCTAATACCCACTAACTTAAAAACACTTTAAAAAACAACAGGTTTCCTGCTTACAATAATTATGGAATGTGAAAGGAAAATAGGGTAAACTTTTGGGAAAAAGTCTTGTATCACAAACTCAAGATGTCCAAACTTCGATACTTGGAAATATTGTTTACATCTTTTCTTCAGAGTTCTGTTTAATCCTGTGAGTTATTAGTGTTTAAAACAGTGCCCTAGAAACAACAATGGGCCAAATCCAAGGGAAATTAAACAATTATTTAAAAGTACATGTAAAAGAATATTGCTATAGGGCTGGGGCTATGGCTCAGTGGTAGAGCGCTCGCCTGGCTTGTGTGAGGCACTGGGTTTGATCCTCAGCACCACATAAAAATATTGTGTCCATCTAAAACTAAAAAATAAATATCTTAAAAAATATTGCTATAGATCACATCCTATAAAGACTTGAAAAAAAAGGAGGACAGAACTCAGTATTTAAACCTTTTTAATATGACAACAGGGGAAAAAAATACTTAAAAAAAAAAAAAAGGCCAGTTTTCTATGACTAACCTTTAATTGGAATGCTCCTGTGTTGAGAGAAGCTTCACAGAATGGCAGTTTTTCCTGACCACTTCTGACATGCATTCTTTCACATAAATTTGCAAACCTTGAGGCTTCCATGTATGTAGAATTGCCAAAATTCACATAGGATTTGAATCATTTACAACTCCACTACAATTCACCTATTTTCTTCTCATAAAAGCTATAAGGTAAAAAATTATTTTTAATATCCTCAGAATGAGTCATACCTGCTCTTGTGTGCACTTCTCTTTATTAATATTTTTGCCCCTATCACTGCTTTCTACCAGATACAAATGTTTACTTAACATATATCAGATGTGGGGCTGGGGCTGTAGCTCAGTGGTAGAGCGCTTGCTTGGCCCATGTGAGGCACTGGGTTCAATCCTCAGCACCACATAAAAATAAATAAAATACAGATATTGTGTCCAACTACAACTAAAAATATATATTAAAAAATACATCTCTCAGATGTGAGCCCATGCTTGTCAAGTAAAAACTTAAAATTTTACTATTTTTGAGGGGGTTGGGGAAGGTATTGAGGATCGAACCCAGAGGCACTTTATCACTGAGCCACATCCCCATTCCCCCACCACCATCTTTTTTTGAGACAGGGCCTCATTAATTTGCAGAGGCTTCTAACTTGCGATTCTTCCTTCTCAGACTCCCAAGCCACCGCAACTGGCCCCAGAGTTTCTTCCCAGGTCACTGCTTTACACCTAGTCCTGGGTTTCTGATTCACCAGTGTCGTCTAGATGGTACTCATATTATCTTTTTTGTTTCTACCATTCTCAGAGCTTTTGGAAAAGAAAGTTAAGTTCCTTAAGGTAGGTAACTCTGGTTCAGTAAATGAAAAATAAATTATTTCATATCACTGAAAAAGGATAACCATCACTGCGCTTTTTAAAAAAATTTTTTGGTAGTTGTAGATGGACAGAATGCCTTTAGTTTATTTTTATGTGCTGCTAAGGATGGAACCCAGTGCCTCACACATGCTAGACAAGCGCTCTGCCACTAAGCTATAGTCCCAGCCCATCACTGCTTTTAAGATTAAAGACAGACAATGCATAGGATCAGCATATTCCCTTTAGCAGTCTCAACAATTGTCTAGAAAACCAAATTTGCCTAACATTATGTTCTATAGCCACTGTCTCCTAAGTAGTTGGCCCTCAACTATTTAAGTAAACACCACAGCATTTAACAGTAAATCATTGAAATAGCATCTTTACTGTTTTATATATATATATATATATTTTTTTTTTTCAGTGAGATGGTACCAGGGATTGAACTCAGAGCCTGACTCAGCACATCCCCAGCCCTATTTTGTATTTTATTTAGAGACAGGGTCTCATTGAGTTGCTTTGCGTCTCGCTCTTGCTGAAGTTGCCTTTGAACTCTCCATCCTCTTGTCTCAGCTGTTGGGATTATAGGTGCCACCACACCAGGCTGTTTACTATATATTTACTGGTTTTGATTTTTGTGGCTTTGGCATTTTTTTTTTAATTCTAACATTAGCAAAAATGTCAATTTTCTCACTCTTCTCCTTTAATATTCAAATACTCAGAAGCTGTACTGACATATATGTTGCCACAGAAGCCCTCAAATTTGCTCATTTGAGAAACAGTCATGACAATGGGCACTGGTATTTCTAAAGTCTTGGGAGGTAATAGGATGAAGACAGTTCATCTTAGTTTATTACTTTTCAGAACATTATCTGAATGGGTATAAATGCACATAATACACTTGGTTCTTAATTCTGTAAGTTAATGAGAAATCAAAGTCACCTTGGTTCCTAACTCTCTTTTGAGGATCTTGGCACTGTCAGGAAGGGAATAACTGTTACACAGGATAAACCAGCTCTGCTGCCAAGCTGCAAGTAACAGAACACTTGCCACCTATGAGTCAGTCAGATATGGGCTCACTGCAAATTACTAAAAATAAAGATAAAAGTATGAGTCCTGCCATAGGAGTAATCAAGAAACTTCACAAATCCTATCTGGGTTTAAATACAGAGATGGAAATGAGCCCTGCTAAATGGCCCTGGGGGGGGGGGGTGGTCTGTAATTACTAAGGGAACCAAAAACTGAGGGCCAGCTCTGGCTTGTGTACCAATGTGAGCTATCTGCTTAAATATTTTTCACTAAAATCCAAATTCATACTTCATTTAATCAACAACTGAAAAAGCAGGACACAGGATCTTCTAATTTTATTAGCAACTACCAAGCTATGAAATACAAATCAATAACATTGAAGAAAGTTGCTTGAAACAGGTTATGTACAGCTGTGCTACACAGAAGCAAAAATCCTATCTTTAATCTCAAAGCCAACCCTGTGTGGAAGGATGACCTTAGGGGACAAAGGAGCACATAAGTTACAATAAACAAGTCTGATCCACCCAGAAAAGCAGTGAAATATAGTCACATGGGCACTAAAAATATGAAATCAGTTTTTAAAGATTCCCTTAATCATAAAGTTTTCAAATGAAAACAGGTTCCCCTCTTCTCCTGTAGGCCTTCCAGCTCACTACCCAAGAGACTTGAGTATTTCTATTAAGGCAGCTGGAAGCCCACCCTAGGCTTGAACAGCAACTTCTGCCCAATATGTGACCTGTCCTCCCTCTGCTATTAACATGCTATGGGCAAAAACAAAATTCTACAGTGCTGTTCTCTGGTAAAAAGGGGGAAACAGCACTCAAAATAAAGTAAAAGGCCACAGAGGGCTCCCTGAGAATCCAGTAGAACTAAGAGAGGCCTTCAACTTTTTTGAAATCCACTTTGCAACTGGATCCAGGTGGAACAGTGCCCTGCAGCAAGGAGTAGTGTACATGCCAAGGAAAGAGCCCAGCTTCCAAGAACCATTACCATGGCTTCCTGAGCCACTTTCTCTCTCTCCTACTTATGAGAGAGTGAGAAAACACACAGTGGCTTTGATTCTCAGCACAATCCCTCTGTACAGAGGGAAGTGTTTCCAAGTCTGGAACCACAACTGACGGCTGAGACACTTCATGAGGAGCTCTCCTCCACAGTCCAGCCATCTCCAGTGGCTCTCCTCACAATGCTTCATCTTCTCATTCTCCTGGGGAAGGATTGTGGGAGAAAACCTGGGATCTCTCTGTCAGGAAACAGGCACAACTGCCAGGAGCCAGGGTTCTGGCCTCAGTCTCCAGTTGTTAGTGTCTTAGTCTCAATAGAGAACTGGAAAGCAACAGAATTTGGTAGAGCAGGAAGAGAGCCCCAAGGAAGAGTGTCACGCTCAGTGATGGTTAATAGATGAAACGGAATTTCATGGAGATTCTTTGTTACAAGGAGAAACTACTCAGTCTCAACTTCCAGAACGTGGAGGTTGCCTGATTTAAGAGACCTATGTCTTCTTTTTTAGTTCTTCAAATCTCCGGGAAAGATCATCAAAGTCAATGTCTTCAGAAGCTGAGTTGCTGGCACCAGCAGATGAAGTTGGCAGTGTGTCTGGCACAGATGGTAACTCTGGCAGTACAAAGTTGTCATAGTTATCCATAGGTCTAGAAGGGGGCTTTGCAGAGGCTTCCTGCTTGGGTCCAGGTCCTAATTAAATTAAGGTAAGGAATACAATGTTACAAACACAAGAGCAACAGCTCAGATTCCCTTTAACAGAGGAAAAGTAAGATCAAAACACAGAAAAAAAACATTAGTTTAAAAAAACTAACATTTAATTCTAAAAGTCAATAAAATCCTCATAATTAACATTTACATTTTCTAATTATAGTTGAATTCTACCTGTTTTACTTTTCTTTAGTGAGAAAACCATTTAAGGGAAATCAAATTTGGTTCATGAGGCCAGGTCCACTGATCATTCATCTAATAGACTCCCTTTTCACAAAGCTCAGCTGCTATGACAAGCCCAAAGACTAGTATTAGTAGTATTGAACCAACTTCTGCTTCTGTAAGAACTACTTAAGATTTAGGAAGAAAAAATTTTTATAAGGAATGTTAACACCCATATTATTTCATATAAGAGTGTATTCTGTATTTTTTTTTAATATTTTTTAGGTGTAGATGGACATGACACAATGCCTTTATTTTTATGTGGTGCTGAGGATTGAACCCGGGTCCTGCCCGTGCTAGGCGAGCGCTCTAACACTGAGCCATAATCCCAGCCCATGTATTCTGTATTTCTGTTTTTCTACTTGTATACTATATTAAAATCACCCCCTTATCTGCCTACTGTATGATTATATTTATATCTTAAGTTGTAGAACAGGCAAAACATATCATAGTACCTCAGGAGCATGATTTTCTTTGGGAGGATGGATGGAGTTAATTGGAAAGGAACGTAAGGACTTACAAGAGGGGTGATGGAAACACTTTCTACTTTAATTGGGGTGGTGGATGGTACACACAAAAACATCAGACAACAAAGTCTATGTTTTCTAGTATAAGTTATACCTCAATATAATAAACATCTCTAAAACTATTCCAGGTTTCTGGTGACTTCTGCCCTTCTCTCTGCCCCCATATGTGGGATTGAACACATGCTAGGCAAGTTCTCTAACACAGAGCCCTTCATTTTCAGATAGGTCTTGCTAAATTACAGGCATGTGCCACCTCACCCAACTATATATTTTTTTGAGTCATAGTTAAAAAAACATGCCTGCTTAGTGAAAATTCACAGAGCTATACCTTGTGACTTGTGCCTGTTTTGCCCTCTCTAATGTCTCTTCAATACCACACTTAGATATGAAAAATTGTGCTCTATATGTGTAATAAGAATTTTAATGCATTCTGCTATCATATATAAATTTTAAAAATAACATAATAAAGAATTTGAGGTTAAATGAAAACTAGAAGACAAAAAAATTAGAATAAGTGGAAAGAATAATGATACCATTGACAGAAATAGGAAATAGGAGATTCTTTGGGACTGGGGAAAATCTTCATGCCAGCAGTCTCTGAGGGAGGAAGAATGAACAAACAGCAGAGGGGTTAACACTGAGCCTTTGAAGATTCTGATTCATACTCACCAATTATCTGTGCAGAAGAAATATTCTTATCAGCATTAATGTCATCAACCTGCAACACAAAGACTGTTACCACAGGCAGAGGAGCTATGGAACCCTGAAGAAAGTACCAATACTGGTTCCAGCCCGAGTTTTCCAAAAGCTCAGCTGCTTACCAAAAGCAACAGAACCTGCTCCAAAGAAACTGCCCCTCTACTTCCTACACTTTTCCAATCAGGTATACACCATGCTAAACTCTGAAGTCCCAAGACAAAAAAGAAAATTCTTACCATATCATGACCTCTTTTTTTCACTTTCTAGCGCTAAATCCCCAAATATACCGACAAGAACAAAGTCCTCAAATAATGATGATCTTCTACCTCATTCTTAGAAATAACTGTAATCCATGCTTCAACACATGCAAGACTGAAGCATGAGAAAAACTAAGACCCAAGGTAGAACATGCCAGCTAGAGATAAAAACCAATGGAAAGAACGTGCAAGCTCAGGAACACAGAGCGCCTCTAGATGAATAATTCACATAGCAAATGCCATTCCAATTTGTCTTCTCAGTGAAGTATCAGACAGACACAAGTTTCAAATGGTATATACTAAGAAAATGAAACTAATTCTGAAGCAAAGCTGTTACAACCTGCAGTTCTAGGCATCATAACCACATTAACTATTTATTCAAGTTTTAACTATGAAACTAAAATGTGAAATCAATGCTATAATCTGATTAAAAAAAAATCCTAGTCAGGCTGGGATTGTGGCTCAGTGGTAGAGTGCTTGCCTGGCATGTGAGGCACTGGATTTGATTCTCAGCACCACATAAAAAAGAAATAAACAAATAAATAAATAAAGGTAAAAAAAATAATTCTAGTTGCCAGGCATATGCCTGTAATCCCAGTGGCTTAGGAGGCTGAAGCAGGATGATAGTGGGTTCAAAGCCAGCTTCAGCAATTTGGTGAGGCCCTAACAACTCAGTAAGACCCTGTCTCCAAATAAAATACAAAAAAGGGATAGGGATATGGCTCAATAGCTAATCACCTCTGGGTTCAATCCCTGGTACCCGCTACTCCTAGCAAAAAAATCCTGGTTGTTATTTCTTTATACGAATGCTGAGAACAAAGTCCTTGGTGTTAGATTATTATAATACTAATCTAACACTAAGACTACAACAGCTTGATATGATTCTCTGACTAGGGCACTACAACTTCCTAAGAGAACTGTAGCTCCTTCCTGATTCCTGGCTTCCACCAATAAAGCATTCCCACCAATAATGCCACCACCACTGCTCCCCATCTCCAAGATAGTTTTAAAGCAACATGAATTCCAAAGCAGGAGCAATGCCAATATAGGAGAGTTGATCAAAACTTTGCCTTCCCTGTGGTCATTACTTTGTTCTCTCCATGCGATTCACTCTCCTGTTGCTTATAAAAGAGGCTCAGGCACTTACAGATTCATATGATGGGGGAGTTGCTGGTATCTGAGGTGGATTAATATTGGGAAAGGCCTGATAAGTCCCCACTGGCAAGCCATTGAAATCCGACTGCAAGAGGAGAAAGGCAACATCAGAGACAATGCCCTCAATTTTGGTAATTTTTGTGGTTTGTGTATGAGAAGGACAGAATACATATACATGTATGTATGTGTATACATATACATGTGTTTATGGATGCACTCAAATTGAATGAAAATATATAAGATCCCCTCCCTGAGAAAATGCTCAAAAAGACCACATGTGGTCAGAAAGATTCCAGCTTGCCAGGCATGGTGGCACATACCTATAATCCCAGCAGCCTGGGAGGCTGAGGCAGAAAAATCACGAGTTCAAAGCCAGCCTCAGCAAAAGCAAGGGGCTAAGCAACTCAGTGAGATCCTATCTCTAAATAAAATATAAAATAGGGCTGGAGATGTGGCTCAGTGGTCCAGTGCCCCTGAGTTCAATCCCCGATACCCCCGTCCCTGAAAAAACAGAAAGATTCAAGCTTTTTGCTATTCTTCAAATGTTTCAATGTCTGTCTACAAGGGAAAATTATAATTAGACTTCACTATTAATTACCTAATATCTTGTCTACAAGTGGAGGTTTTCTGCCTGGTAATAGTTGTTATTCATTTTTGGAAAAAGCTATTAGCACAACTGCAACTGGTCCCAAAGATACACAATAAGCCAACACGAAAAACATTTTTAAGCACTACATCTCTAGATTTTTTCACTTTGTTACCTATAGCCAAACCAAGACTTTCTCAGAATCTCAATATTGTTTCCACATTGAGACCATTAAGCCAATACCAAACATTCTAAGTGCTAAATGCTACTGACAACCAACAATTCTTGAGTGTATTTATAGATCTCATTTGTCATAAAGTTTATATCCACACTTTACAAGCATACTCACTGGTCCCTTAGGCAGTGGATATGAGAAGGGAGGATTTGGAGATGGCATGGGCATAGGCATAGGCATAGGCATTGGCACTGTTCCATCAGTTCCACCAACAGGTGCTGTGAACCCACCACCACCTCCTCCTCTTCCAGGGCCACCTTTCTTCACATCATCTGTGAATCCAACATCAATGAGATCTGTTTCTACTCCAGGAGGAGCTTCTGCCTAAGAAAAAGAAACCCATATTATTTCCAAGGGTAGTTTTACCAGCTAACTGACATGTAGATCAGCATGAAGGAAGCTTACTACAGGGTGCTCTTGGGGTCAAAGCACCTATATGGAGCTCTGAAGCTGAGAGGAACCTGCAAAGGTGTGTCCATGAATGGAGGAATAAGCCCCTGGACTGATCAGTTATTGCATACAGGCTGCCCCCAGGAAAGACTCTTTGGGTAAGACTACTCTTTCCAGGGGAGGGCCATCTCTAAAGGGACACCTGGTGTGAGAGCTACCACTCATCAATACTCTTGAAAGGTGGGGAAATAAAGACTTCTATTGTATGTGGGAAGATGGAGATGGCCACCAAAGGTGGCAATCTAAATGATTATTTTCAATGAAAAATAATGTATTTTAAGTGGAAAAAAAAACAGAAAGAGACATTTTGCCAACAGACTGGTGAGGGGGAACTGGGTCACATTATCAGTGTGGAGGGAACACAGCGCCTACACCTACCTACAGACCTGAGCCTACCACTGAGGTTGGCCCAGCTGAATGATTATTTGCATGTTTACCCTCCTACACTGTAAGCCTTTCAGGACAAAGAACTTGTTTTTATACATCTTTGTATTCTCGGCTTTCTGTGAACTATCTGACACATGATGGGCACAATAAATGAACTATTCAGATCTTGGGTATTTCTTGCTGTCTCCAGGAGGAGTTTTCAATTCCTTCAAGTTCACTAAAAAGCCATTTTACATTTGTATCAAAGTTCCTACCTTTTCAAAGAGCTTTCAATGTCAGTCATCTAATCTGATCCTTAAGTACCTTGGGAGCTATGTAGGCATGCTATTAGGCCAAATGGCATCTAACAAAACAAAGGCTTAAACTCACACTAACCTAAGTTAATGCAAAGAACATACATACATATATATATATATATATATATATATATATATATATATATATATATATATACCCCACCCCCCGCAAAGTCATATCTACAGACTCATTTTCACTGCAGTCTGGGATAAACTTACCATGACCACAGAGTCAGGTTCATAGGGTACATTGTAATTCTTGGCAATTTCAATAAGGTATCTCTCCACCAGGATTTTGGGTGGGGCTTCCACACTCAGTTTGTGCATTAGCTGTAAGTAGAAGACCCAGGGTTAAAAAGCATCTATATCAAACCAGCCTAATCCTAGTCTGTCACACTTAATTTCTCTCATTTTGTGGGTAATATTGAAAAAGAACCAATAAGTGATTTTTCCCCCCCAGAACCACCAGGCACACTACAGGACCCATGTCTTTCAATTTTTTGTTTATACACTAACCAAACACTGAAAAGTCTAACACTACTGCCTTCTACATTTCAACTCCTCCACCCTTCTCCCCATCTCGCTCCCTACCTTCACAACTTACAAGAGGCACAAGAATGGGGAAGAGAAGGGCAGATCAGGATCAACAGAGAGCATCATAATCAGGTGCTGGGCAGGAGGTCTATAGGTGTAGGCGCCGTGTTCCCTCAACACTGCCAGCCATATAGGCTTACTTCTCATACTCAGTATGAAATGTGCAGCCTCTACTAACTCAGCCATGCCGTGGAACTACAAGAGTTACTACAGGCAATAAGATAACTTGTTCCCACCACATACACACTGTTTCACATTTACCAAATATGTTCATTACCCTGTCATTCACAGTTCCAATCTGGTTGGTCCTACATAACTTGCCATATTCCTTGCTATATTTGGCACAGAGCTGATCAGCAACCTACAGAGAAAAAAGATGATTAAATAAAACCCCAAATCACTTCTATAAACTACTTCAAGCTTCCCTCTATCAACAGTAAACATGCTTCTAAACAAGATTTCCAAAAAACTGAGGTCTGTAATGGCTTAATGAGCACACACAAATTAGTTTATCCATCCATCCACCCATTCATCTATCCAATGAGCAGCAACCAAGTGCTAATACTATTATGATATGCACTATAAATACAGTCACGAACAAAGACAGATACTGTTCATACTTTTTATAGTCTTACAGTTAATAAAATAATTACACAAAGGTAAAGCTGCAGCTGTGGAAGTGCTACTGAGGGAAAGTACACTATGCTATCACCACATTCTAACAGGAGATTCAGATTCAATCAGAAAAGTCAGGTGAGGCTGCACAAAGACAGGATGTTTTACCAAGATTTAAAACCCAAAGTTAAGAAGGGAAGAAAGAATAGTTTAGGAAATGAAAAAAGCATGTGCAGAAGAATCCTCCTATTGATAAAACATGGCTAAAACTCAACACTGAAATAAAGCCAGTGAGCTTTTCCTGCTAAGCCCAAGTACAAGTAAGGTAAGAAATGAAGTGAGAGGGTTGGGGTTGTGGCTCAGTAGCAGAGCACTTGCCCAGCGTATGTGAGGCACTGGGTTCTATTCTCAGCACCACATATAAATAAATACAATGAAAAGGTCTGTTGACAACTAAAATATATATGTATATATAAAAAAAGAAAAAAGAAATCAATTGAGAAAGATGGGATTGTCTGGAATGCAGTCATATAAATCAAAATTATGCAGTTTTGGGCTGAGGTTGTAGCTCAGTGGCAGAGCGCTTGCCTAGCACATATGAGGCACTGCGTTTGATCCTCAGCACAACATAAAAATAAGTACAATGAAGTTATTTTTTAAAATGCAGTTTTGTTTCTATCACAGACATAACAGAAAGCTACTGGGAAGCTTTAAAGCTCTCATGCAGCTTTTAAACAAAACACTTAGGTTGTTCAGATTGAATGGTGAATTGACTTAAAAAAAGTAAAGTAGATATATGAAAAATATGTAAAAAAACATGCTAGGCATGGTGGTGCATCCTGTAACACCAGCTACTCTAGAGGCAGAAGCAAGATCCTTAAATTCAAGGCCAGCATGGGCAACTTTACAAAAAGAAAAGTAGGGCAGTGGGAGGTGGGGGCAAGCTGGGCATGTAACTCTCTAGCATGTAGTAAAGGGTTCAATCCTCATTACAGAAAAAATAAATATCCTCCAGCCAGGGACAGTGGGCACACGTGTAATCCAAGGAATTTGAGAGGCTGAGGCAGAGAGATTGCTAAATTGCCTCAGCAATTTAGCAGAACCTGTCTCAAAATAAAATTAAAGGAAACAATAAAGGGCTGGGCATGAAGGTCAGAGGTAGAATGCTCCTGGGTTCAATCCCCAGTACCACCCATCCCCTCTCAAAAAAGCCTTAACTAAAAAGAGTAAATTTAAAAATATAATCAATATCCTTAGGCCAGGCATGGTGGCACACACCTTTTGTCTAGCAACTCGAGAATCTAAAGCAGGCCGGGCACAGTGACGCATGCCTGTAATCCCAGCGGCTAGGGAGGCTGAGGCACTAAGCAACTCAGTAAGACCCTGTCTCTAAATACAAAATAAGGCTGGGGAATGTGGTTCAGTGGTTAAGTGTCCCTGAGTTTGATCTTCAGTACCAAAAAAGAACTAAAGGAGGAGGATCACAATATGAGGACTGTCTCTATAACTTAGACTCTGTCTCAAAAAATAAAAAAGGGATGGGGGTGGTAGAGGGCCCCTGGGTTCAATCCCCAGTACTAACGGAGGGGGAGGGGTACAGAAAATATGTATTTTTAAATTTATCCTTAAAGAGTTAGAAGACATTGTAGCCATGAAACAAAACAAAGAAGATTACAAAAATATTCTGAGAATTAAAAATAAAATAAAAATATATAGAAAAATAAAAACACTAAGCAACTCAGTGATCTTAACATATAGGTTGGGTGATAAGATTGAGATAATATCCTAGGAAATAAAACAAAAAGGCAAAAGTGCAGAGAAACAGAAAACAACTCAATTAAATTTGTACCTAGCAATGAGTACTTTTCCACATTTTGATAACAATTTTTAGGTTAATATCTGTCTCTTCCACTAGACTCTAAGCTACAAGAGTATAGCTGGTAGGCTGGGAACATAGCTCAGTGGTAGAGTGCTTGCCCAGCATAAGACAAAGACCCTGGGTTTAATCCCCAGCAACACATAAACACATGCGCGCACGCACACGTATGACTATTGTCATATTTTGTTCACATTATTCCCAGTGCTCATCTAGCTCATAATATCTGTGAACTTATGTCAATTTTATTTTAACTTTACTGGTTTACAGGCATACAAGAACTTTTCTGGAGGTTGGGGGTGTAGTTCAGTGATAAAGCACTGGCATGCCCGAAGCCCTGGGTTCAATCCCCAGCACAGAAAAAAGAAAACACACACAAACTTTGTTCTATTTGTATAAGATTAAATGACATTATAACAAAAATAAGACAAAACTGGAGGTATATAGAATTATGCTCCTAAAAAAATTACTCAAGGGGCTGGGGTTGTGGCTCAGCAGTAGAGTGCTCGCCTAGCACGTATGAGACGCTGGGTTAAATCCTCAGCACCACATAAAGATAAATAAATAAAATAAAGATATTATGTCCAACTACAACTAAAATATATATTTAAAAAATTACTCAAATTTACAAGACAATGTTCTACCCTGTGACATAGGCCTGAAAAAGAGGACAAATTTACAAAGCCTGTTTCAAAAGAAGCAAGGATAAAAAAAATGCCTGTTCAAATAAGCAAGAGTGCCTTAAGTGACTTCTGTTAACCAACCTTTCTCTCTCCCTTTTTTGTAATACTGGGGATTAAACCCAGGACCTTGCACATTACGAGGCATGTATTCTACCATTGATTTACACCCCTGGCTCTTCTTTCTCTTTTTTCAAAAATTTAAGTTGCCCAGGCTAAGTTGCCCAGGCTGGCCTCAAACTTGCAATTCTCCTGCCTCAGACCCCTGAGTAGCTGGGATTACTGGCATGCTAACCAAAATTTCTAACAATATGAAAAACTACAGAAAACACAAACTGGTTGTACTCACAATTTTCAACTCAGCCACTTCTGACTGGAGTCGAGGAGCAGCCCAGATCAGTGTAGACACAGATTCGGCCAGACCAGAATCTAGCTCCCTAATCAAGAACAAAATTAATATGACTTAGTGTTTTTTAAGAGCAACAAAATCTTAGCCTTTATAGGATACATCTGTTAAGTATCCAAGGCTATCTCATGAACCTCACTGAATTATCATAATAATAACTTGATTTCTGGCCATTTCATTACTTGTTTTACTTTTGGGGAAACTCTTAATCAATGTCACAAAGTCAGGAAATGGCTGAGCCAAAACTCAAACCTCTCAGTTTCAGAATCTTTATTTTACAAGTTACCTAAATTGAAATCACACTTCAAGTGAATGATAGGATAGGAAAAAGATCCTTGGAAAATAAAATAGCCCACAAGCACCAGCCCATTCAATGTACATGTAGAAAGAGATCATTATTACTTATTCTTAAATTCTAGACTTGATTTAGTCTTTGAATGGAAGAATCTTACTTCATAGACTGGATGAGGCCAAACCGAGCCAGCAGCAGGTCACAGTACAGCTCCAGGATCTCCATGGCCTCTACGAGGTAGTCTTCCCGAATAATGTGCTCCACACGAATACGAGCTCTCTCATCTTTCCCAGCAGCCAGATAGTCAGCAATCTCCTTCCTTGCTTTCTGGGCCAGTTCCGCTAAGGCACAAATCCCACTGCAGTCACACAACAGTAGTGCACTGGGAACTGGGCTGTAAGCAGACTTTTACCCCAACAGAGAGAACTGGGTGTTTCTATTACATCCTAGTTCACACTCCCTTAGCAAATCTAATCCTACCTCATCTACTTCTACCTTAACTCCTCTTGAATTTGCTACTGTGTACATAAGAATACAGCACAGCCCGATATTTCCAACTCAGGAGTCATGTTACCCATTCCATTCCCAGAGAGTACAGCTGTCCCTCAGTATCCTAAGAAAACTGATTTCAAGACACCACATGGATACCAAAATCCAAGGATGCTCAAGTTCATTATATAAAATGGTATAATATTTGCATATAAATAACCTATACACATTCTCCTATACATTTTAAATTATCTGTAGATTATTTATAATCCCTAATACAATGTAAATGCTATGTTAATAATGGCTATAATGTATTGTTTAGGGAATAATGACAAGAAAAAAGGTCTATACATGTTTGATACAGATATAATTTTTTCCTCTGAAAAATTCTGATCTGTACTTGGTTGAATCCAGATGTAGGATCCACAGAAATGGAAACCATGAACATGAAGGGTCAACTGTACATCCCTCCCCTGCAACAAAGTGATTCAGTCTAACTAGTCACAAAAGGCAGAGATACAGCTAAAGCTTAAAAGATGAGACACCTGAGATTTCACAGTACTGGCCTGAAAGATCCAGTACACCTGGAGATGTATTTTGGGAAAGTAAAATAAGGCAATCATTCACTACTTACTTTTTTTTTTCTCCAATAGTTTAAGACGATTTATGACTAATCTCAAATTGACTCGTAAACGCTCAGCTTTAAATCCGGAGCCCAGCATGCTGTACTGTTCCTCCTGTAAAAAGAAGCATAGCAGTGACTATTTTGAGTCAAAATTAGTTCTGGAACTAACACTACTGAAGGGGAATATCTGACACACTAAACTAGAGTTTCTTTTTCCTTTTGGTTTTACAGATTAAACCCAGGGCTTCACATGTGCCAAGCATATGCTTTACCACTGAACTACATCTTGAGCCCCCAGGGTGTTTTTCTAATACAGGAAATGACATAATCGAAATGATATTTTTTATACATTACTTTGGCTGTTATATAGAAAACTGATTAAAAGAGGATAATATTGAGCACAGGGGTATCATGAAAAGGCTAATACGATAGTCCAGCAAGAAATAATATAGCTTAGAACCAAGCAGTTAGCAGTGGTAGTAACAGAAGCAATTGGATTTGAAATCTATTTTAAGGGCAGACCTGAAAAAAACAATTTTTATTTTGAGACAGGGTCTCACTAAATTGCCCAGGCTGGCCTCTCAAAAAGCTGGGTTTACAGGTGTGGCCAGCCTTTAACATTTTTTTTTAAGTTTATTTTTTAGTTGTAGTTGGACACAATATCTTTGTTTTATTCATTTTTACATGGTGCTAAGGCTCGAACCCAGGGCCTCAGACATGCTAAGCAAGCACTTTACTGCTGAGCCATAACCCCAGCCCCAACCTTTAACATTTTTGATTAATCTGCTTTAGTCTCACTGGAAGACTTCAACTACTTCTTAGGTGCCAGTGTCACTCCCACACTGCCTAGCACAGTGTTCTTGCACAAAGCTGTTACTCATTTATAATGTTAGTATGTTAATTACTTGAAAATTTAAATTTAACATTCTCTTTTAATTCTACTAATTTATATTATCTAATTTGCTTATTTTAGATTTAAGGAAAGAAAAAGAATTTGCTAAACTATTTTGGTAAGTATTGCAGATTTTCAACTCCTTTTTTTTTTTGAGAGAGAGAAAGAGAATTTTTTTAATATTTATTTTTCAGTTTTCGGTGGACACAACATCTTTATTTTTTTAATGTGGTGCTGAGGATCGAACCCAGAGCCCTGTGCATGCCAAGCAAGTGCGTTACCACTTGAGCCACATCCCCAGCCCATCAACTCCTTTTTAATAGATCCTTATTCTACAAAGAATCTAATAACTAAAAACAACGACACTAAGCCACAAAAGAAATGACTAAGGGTATGTTCTAAATTATTATCAGTATATGATATAAATCATTAGACTTAAAACTAGTTTAATACAAGACTGACAAGTTTAGTTCAGATTCTGAATTATGTTTCTAAAACTAACATAAACTTTGTATCTTGTATGAAAATATTAATTTAGGGATAATAACCTAAAAGTTAATATTCAGGTAAACAGTATTTACATATGTGTGTATATAAACCCACAAATATAGAAGCAAATATTTGTTCATGTGAATACATTACATACATACCACATACTAATATTGTCCAATATGTTACCAAAAGCTTGGTCCTTGTCCCTGATACCAATTCAATATTGAGGACACAGTTTTGACAAAAAGGAAAAAAAAAAATTTACTGCTTTGCTAGCAAAGACGCTGCACAGGGGACTCCTGTCCCAGAGGCTGTTATTTTGCCCATCAAAGGGAGCACGGGACTTTTAAAGAGGTGATTCCAAGACTGTATTCCACGTGTTCTCGGTTGGAGTTGTGATTCACTTGTTAGCTTAGAAGATAATCATTTTGAGATCTTCTGGTACCATCCCCACAGTCTGAATTACTTCATTCCTGTAGTGGAAGTGTGCTCAAGGACAGATAATTCTGCCTAGGATGGGGAAGGTAATTCTGTTTCCCCTGAGATTAGGAAAGGGAAGAAATTAGAAAGGAGCAGGAAGAGAGGAAGAAAAAGAAACATATCCATTTTTAAAAATAAGTCACAGTGGCAGAGCAGCAAGGGCTATATTCAGAACATAAAGTGGACCACTGTTACAGATACCCAATTAAGATTTTTTTTCTATGTCTTGTCTCACCCACTAGAGTAGTTGGGATCACAGGCACTCACCACCATGTCCAGTTTATTTAAAATTCTTTTGTGATTCTAAGATCACTGTGGCCTCAGTATCTTCACTGTTATGCATTCACTGACCTTTTTGTTTTGGTTTTGTTCCAGGGTTTGAACCCAAGGGCATTTAACCACTGAGCCACATCCCCAGCCCTTTTTATTGAGTGGTGGTCTATAGGTACTGACTGCTAGACCCCTTCAAAATGATACATTTAAATGAGAGCTGATCCCAGCTTCAAGAAATTCACAATCTAATGATGTTTACTATGAGAAAAGTAAACAACTATAGATAAACCTAAAAAAGTATTATGAGGAGCTGGGGTTGTGGTTCAGTGATAGAGAACTTGCCTAGCACATGTGAGGCACTGGATTCTGTCCTTAGCACCACATATTAATAAAGGTATTGTGTACAACTTAAAAAAAATTTTTTAAAAAGTATATGACCTCATGATTGCAATCCCATTTTTCAGTTTTTATCTTACTTCTGTATTGAAATATATCCCCAGATCATTTTTTAAGGCATTTTACTAATAATTTTTGTTTGTTCTTTTTAGATATATATGATGGCGGAGTGTATTCTGACACATTATAGACACATGGAATATAACTTATTCTAATTAGACTCCCATTCTTGCAGTTGTACATGATCTGGAGTTTCACTGGTCATGTATTCATATATGAACATAGGAAAGTTATATCTGATTCATTCCACTGTATTTCTTATTCCCACCCATCTTCCCTTCCCTTCATTCCCCTTAGTCCAATCCAACGAACTTCTATACTTCTCTCCCCCTTCCTTATTGTATGTCAGCATCCACATACCAGAGAGAACATCTGGCCTTTAGTTTGGGGGGATGGCTCATTTCACTTAGTATGACAGCTTCCAGTTCCATTAATTTACAAGCACACACCATAATTTCATTCTTCTTTATGGCTAAGTAATATTCCATTGAGTATATATACCATGTTTTCATGGTTTCACAGCTTAGCTATTGTGAATTGAGCTGCTATAAGCACTGATGTGGCAGCGTCACTATAATATACCTACTTAAGTCCTTTGGGTATATAGCGAGGAAGGGATAACCGGTTAACATTTTTTTTTTTTGAAACAAGGTCTCACCAAATTGCTTAATTAATCAATCTCTCCATTCTGAATAAGGGGGAAGTATAAAACCTTGCATGGATTGAGTTCTTTGAATCTGATGATTTTTAAAGAGGAAAGGAGAGAATGTTACAGTTCAGAACTACTGCCCAAAATAGTGGAACTGCCCAGAGACGAGATTTTGAAAGCTCTATTAAAAATAGCTAAAAATAAGCTGGGCACTGTGGTGCATGCTTGTAATTCTCAGGGGCTCAGCTGAGGCAGGAGGATCATAAGTTCAAAGCCAGCCTCAGTAACTTAGTGCGTCCCTGTCTCTAAATAAGGGCTGGGGATGTGGTTCAGCGGCTGAGTGCCCCTAAATTCAATCCTCAGTACCAAACAACAACAAAAAAGCTAAAAAATAGCCTAATAAACAAAAGGGCCGGGTTTAGTGTCCCATGCCAGTAATCCTAACTACTTGAGAGGCTGAGACAGAAGGATTCCAAGTTCAAAGCCAGACTTGGCAACTAAGCATGACCCTATCTCAAAACAAAAAAGGGCTGAAGATGTAGCTCAATGATAAAGCACCACTGGGTTCAATAACTAATGCCACAAAAACAAGCAAACTAACAAATATTTGAGACCAGCTTTAGGGCTTGCAGTGCCAAGAGTATGAAAGGGTAAGAAGACAGCAGTCTCAGAAGTGACTAAGAGAGACATTTTGCATATACACAAAAACTTCTATATTTGAAATGTATCATTTTATTTATTCTGAATACTTTTCTTATAAACTATATGATGTAAACAGACTTAGGGTTGACCACTGTATTGCAGTTAATGAAGATACGACACAATGGCACAAACATACACAAAAATCTGCTCTAGAATGCATTTTCAAGATAATATAATTCAATTTCCTTAAAAAGCATTTCATGTGGGGCTGGGATTGTGGCTCAGCGGTAGAACGCTCGCCTAGCACGGGCAGGACCTGGTTTCCATCCTCAGCACCACATAAAAATAAAGGCATTGTGTTGTGTCCATCTACACCTTAAAAATAAATATTAAAAAAAAAAAAAAAGGATTTCATGAGGCTAAGGTTGTGGCTCAGCAATAGAGCACTCGCCTAGCATGTATGAAGCCCTGGGTTCATGGGTTCAATCCTCCGCACATAAAAATGAATAAATAATAAAGGTATTGTGTCCAATAACAACTAAAAACATAACAAATAATAAAGCATTTCATGTTCAGATTGCCAGGAATTTTACTGTATTTTCACACTACAAACTGTAATTAAATCTTTATTGACCAAACGAATCACGATTAAAACATCAATAAAATAAAGCAACTACCACACCTTCAGCAGCATATGTAATTCCCAAGTATTGGCTTCATAATTCAGATACCATCAAAGTTTTCTGGCAGCAGTCATTAATACTGGAATGCACATACATTACAAAATCTTGTTTCTCAATAAAATATAAACACACTGTAGAAAATTCATTGGGTTAAAAAAAAAAAAGAAAGAAAATTCATTGGGTATACTTTTACCAAAAATATTTCTTAAGGCATACTTTAACAAAGTCGTACTCATGAACTATGAGCACTAACAAATCCTTTTTATCACTTGCAATCAGATGTTACAGAAACTATTTTAATGGCTGCCTAATACCCCACAGCATGACAACTTTCTTACAAATTCTCCAACCTTTCCACGTTTATATCATATCAATAATGCTGAAATAAGCATTCATATGCATTTCACTTTTCCTGTATTTGAAATGAATCAGACCATACCTTGTTTTCTAGTTTTACTTTTAAATCAGAATACGCTACATGTTATGTGGAACTTGATTGTAATTATTGTAAAAGAATGAGAGCTTAAGTAGACTAGAGAGGCTGAGGGGATGCTTTACTCAGCTTTTTCACTGATGTGACTAAAAGATCTGACAAGAAAAATTTTAAGGAGGAAATGTTTATTTGGGGTGGGGGTGGGCTCCCGGATTCAGAGGTCTCGTCCACAGACAGCTGATTCCCTTGCTCTGGGCTGCAAATGAGGCAGAAAATAATGGTGGAAGGGTGTGGAGGAGGAAAAGGAAAGCAGCTCACAACATGAAAACCAGGAAGCAGAGAGACTCTCATTCAACAGAGACAAAATAGATACCCCAAAGCACCCCCTCCATGAACCCCCTCTAGTCACACCCCACCAACCTTCAGTTACTACCAATTAAACCTGTCAGGGGATTAATTCACTGATTGGGCTAAGGCTCTCATAACCTAATCATTTCTCCTCTAAACCTCCCATTGTCTCACACATAAGCTTTTGGGGACACCTCACAAACAAACCATAACAGGGGGTACAGCTAAGTGGTAGAGGGACTGCTTACCTAACATGTTCGAGGCCCTGGGTTCTACTCCCCAGCACCGCACACCCCCCAAAAAAAATTTTTTTAAAAAGGAAAATTAGCCTAGAGTTGAGGATTCTCAATCTTTCAGAAGCCACAGGCCCCAAACGCGACTTGAAAGTTTACAAGCACAGAGAGGGAAAGTGGCCCTCTTCTGCTATTATTCTACTGTCCTAATTATTAAACTGACACTATGATCGCGATCGTCGTTCAAGATTTTGTTGGCGAGTTTCAGAGAATCACCCCAGCAACCCAGAAGAGGAGAGCCTGGCACAAAGAGCAGAAGGGCAGGCACAGGGCCGCAGGCTCTTCACAAGGGCTCTCACCAGAGGGGTCTGCGAAACGGGACAGCGAGAAAAAAGGTAATTCTCTCCGGCTAAAGAGGGCGCCCTGAGCGAGTCTCCGAGGGTCGCCAAAAAGCCCAGACCGCGGCGCTGCCGCCCCAGAAACGAGATGCCTCGGGGCAGGGAAGAGGAAGGGAAAGTTTGGCGGCTCTGGCGTCCAGGGCGGCGGTCTCCTATCAGCTGGCAGCCCTGCGGTGCTCCCACCCCGGCCGGGGCCCGCCTCCCGCGCCGCGGCCCCTCGCCCGACCTCCGGCCTGACCCCCGCCTCCGAGACCCTTCCCTTTCTCCTCTGCCATCCCGTGGCCATTCGGAACCGAAGGTCTAATAGCGACTAATAGGGACTATTAAGTTCAAGGCGTTCAATCTAAAAGACAAAGACCCCCTAACGCTGAGGATGCTACACTCACCTGGTCGAATCCAGGCGTGAAAACAGTAGAGACCGACTTCGCAAACGTCGCCCAGCATCCAAAATGGCGGCTCCCTCGGCCTCAGCACAGCAAGCTCGGGCGGAGGGATCCACGGGCCCAGAAAGCCACGCCCCCTCTCCAGGGATTGGCTGCGCGCCGGCCGCTGCCTGGACCCACACGCCGAGGACTTCCACCCTCGGATCCCTTCGGAGCGGGCGCGGCGGGGACTACTTCCCGCGGCGGAGTCCCTGATCGTGACGTGTCACTCGTGACGCCAACTGAGTCACCTGCTGGGGGGGCGCGCCCTGGGTTTTGCCCTGGGCGCGGTGAGGTAGGCGGTGGCAGGTAGTCCTCCAACTCGGTGCTGGTTATTCTTATCCGGGGTTGTTTCAGCCCCTGGAAAAACCTGCTGAAGAACTCCCGGAGTTCCTCGTTGAGATTTGCTCGCAGCCTTGGCTCGTCTCTCCTTTCGTCCTCAGCGGGTTTCCTCTGCGCCTCGGTTTTTGTCCCCTGGTGAAGGGGCGGGCGGGTTTCGACCCGGGTCTGAAAGATCCCTCT